GTCGAGGGATGCTGCTGGCGTGTGAAGGCGCTGCACAAGACGAAGAGAGGCGACGCGGGCGCGGCGGTCGAAGCGCCAAGCGCGGGCGCCGGGAAAAGCGGAAGCAGGGGAACGGGCACAGGACCAGATTAGTCGTCTGATACCATGATAGAGAGTTAAGCCAACAGGCTTTGGATGATGATTGATAGATTGCAGAGTGTTTACATATATAGGGATTACAGGAGGGTGGCCCAAGGGGCCAGCCGAGTGTGAAAGGGCCTGTCCAGCCAAGCACAGGAAGCTAGGGGATTACATAAAGGAGTAATTAATTCTAACAACTAGTATAACAGATGTCATAGTTTGATGACTTATCCAGATGTGCATAGTTTAACCTTTTCTGTTTGTCTGACTCGGAGAATCCAACGTTTTGTCTTTATTTAATCAGTGGATTAGGAGTAGTTAGTTATATGTGCTCTAGTTTTGGCGCATCCCCAGTGGATGCACATCCATTTTCAAGGGGGGGGGGAAGGAATGCTATAGACTGCTACTAATAAACTACAAATCATCTCATATTGATGCAGTACCTTGTAGTATTGTATCTCATATTACAAGTAAGGAAAGAAACAATATGTTATATCCATGTAGTCACAGCTTTTCATTCTTTGTTTTTGCAGGAAAAAATTCGGCTTGCCCTGGTTGTGCAGAAGGCTGCCATCACCTTCATTGATGGTATTACATAACTGCTTCTGCTTGTCTTACAGTTTATTTTGCTGCTTTACTAACTTCCATCTAACTTTTGAACCATCTGGTGGTGTTAAAGGTGCCAAGCATAAAGACTATCGGATAACCGAGGATATCATAAAAGCTGGATTTTCCATAAATCCAGATGAACTGGCATCGATCACAAGCAAGCATTATGTGAAAGCTTTGAAGATGCACGGTGGTGCAGACGGGATATCCAAAAAAATCCGATCGTCATTCGACCATGGCATATCTAGCAGTGACCTAGACACAAGGCAAAACATCTATGGCGTCAATCGCTATGTGGAGAAGCCTTCGAGAAGTTTCTGGATGTTTGTTTGGGATGCGTTGCAGGACATGACTCTTATCATTCTTATGGTGTGTGCTTTGGTATCTGCTGTTGTGGGTCTGGCATCTGAAGGTTGGCCCAAGGGCATGTATGATGGCTTGGGAATAATACTCAGTATTTTGCTGGTCGTGATGGTTACTGCTATCAGTGACTACAGGCAGTCGCTTCAGTTCAAGGAACTAGACAATGAGAAGAAGAAGATTTTTATCCATGTAACCAGAGATGGCTCTCGGCAGAAGATCTCTATATATGACTTGGCGGTTGGCGATATCGTGCATCTATCAATTGGAGACCAAGTACCTGCCGATGGACTGTACATTCATGGATACTCCCTTTTGATTGATGAGTCCAGCTTGTCAGGTGAGAGCGATCCAGTTTATATTTCTCAAGATAAGCCGTTCATCTTGGCAGGAACTAAAGTTCAGGATGGATCAGCTAAGATGATGGTAACCGCTGTTGGTATGCGCACTGAATGGGGAAGGTTGATGAGCACATTGAGTGAAGGAGGAGAGGATGAGACGCCGCTGCAGGTTAAGCTAAACGGAGTTGCAACCATCATTGGCAAGATTGGCCTGATGTTTGCCACATTAACATTTGTGGTCCTCATGGTTAGATTCCTTATTGAAAAAGGTTTAACAGTTGGTTTGTCCAAATGGTATTCTACTGATGCACTGACTATAGTAAACTACTTTGCAACGGCAGTCACTATTATTGTCGTTGCTGTTCCTGAGGGGCTGCCTCTTGCTGTTACTTTGAGTCTTGCATTTGCAATGAAAAAGCTAATGAATGATAAAGCACTTGTAAGGCATCTTTCAGCATGCGAGACAATGGGATCTGCTGGTACCATCTGCACAGATAAAACAGGAACTTTGACTACTAACCATATGGTTGTTGACAAGATATGGATATCTGAGGTCTCAAAGTCAGTTACCAGTAACAGTAGTTTGGAAGATCTGACTTCTGCCATCTCTCCAGTTACATTGAGCCTACTTTTGCAGGGCATTTTTGAGAACACAAGTGCAGAGGTAGTCAATGAGAAGGATGGTAAGCAAACTGTTTTAGGAACTCCAACAGAAAGGGCAATATTTGAATTTGGCTTGAAATTGGAAGGTCTTGATGCTGAGGATAGGACCTGCACCAAGGTTAAGGTTGAGCCTTTCAATTCGGTTAAGAAGAAGATGGCAGTGTTGGTCTCATTACAAAATGGCGTGTACCGTTGGTTCACCAAAGGTGCGTCAGAGATTATTGTGCAGATGTGTGACATGGTGATAGATGGCGATGGAAACAGTGTTCCCTTGTCAGAAGCTCGGAGAAAGAATATCTTGGATACTATCAACTCCTTTGCTTCGGATGCTTTAAGGACACTGTGCTTGGCGTATAAGGAAGTGGATGATTTCAATGATGATGCAGATAGCCCAACAAGTGGCTTTACTCTAATATCCATTTTTGGCATCAAGGATCCTTTGCGCCCAGGAGTCAAGGATGCTGTGAAGGCCTGTATGTCTGCCGGTATCATTGTGAGAATGGTGACTGGTGATAATATCAATACAGCTAAAGCTATAGCCAAAGAGTGTGGAATACTAACTGATGGTGACGTAGCAATAGAAGGATCAGAATTCCGCAGTAAGAGCCCAGAAGAGATGAGGGACATAATACCTAAGATTCGGGTTCATTTCACTTCCCTCAACCTATGGTTACGCTAATATCTATTAAGATTTCATTTTTCTCAATTTTAATTGTCTTTCAACATTGGCAGGTCATGGCTCGTTCTTTACCATTGGACAAGCATACCCTTGTGACAAACTTGCGAGGTATGTTTCGTGAGGTGGTTGCTGTGACAGGTGACGGCACGAATGATGCTCCAGCATTACATGAAGCAGATATTGGCCTTGCTATGGGCATAGCAGGAACAGAGGTACTAGGTTATATTGCATTGATTCATGGATGACAAGAATACATAGATTGTGATTCAATGGTTGGAAAGTTGGTCAAAATAACCTATCTAGTTATTTTTATATCTTAATCTTAGGTTCCATGATTCAAATAGTTTGCCTTCATGGTCTCACAAAAAAACAATCTCAACGATACTCATCTCTGCTATTCTTACTGTTTGAATCTCATGCTGACTGAATACTGGGCTGGTGGCATTAGGAGTTTAGAACTTCTCACTTACAAGGGCTTCTCCTTCAGCATCTCACCATGTCCCTTGAAATATAATGTTATAAACTTACATATTTTCAGGTTGCCAAGGAGAGTGCTGATGTGATAGTGCTTGATGACAATTTTACAACTATAATAAATGTTGCGAGGTGGGGTCGTGCGGTTTACATAAACATCCAAAAGTTTGTGCAGTTTCAGTTGACTGTCAATATTGTTGCTTTGGTCATCAACTTTGTTTCAGCATGTATTACAGGTATGGGCACCATCTACAGTATTCTTTCTCCAATACCAGTATGCCACAGTCGTTCAATTAGTGAATTCTTGATATCCCCTATTGAAATAATAGTATTTTGACTCTCGTATCACAGGCAGTGCTCCTCTCACAGCGGTGCAACTGTTGTGGGTCAATATGATTATGGATACATTAGGAGCTTTAGCTCTAGCAACAGAGCCTCCAAATGATGACATGATGAAGAGGCCGCCTGTTGGGCGAGGGGAAAGTTTCATTACCAAAGTCATGTGGAGAAATATCATTGGGCAAAGTTTATATCAGTTGGTTGTACTTGGAGTTCTCATGTTTGCTGGGGAACAGTTTCTGAATATCAAGGGTGCAGATTCCAAATCTGTTATCAATACACTCATATTCAACTCCTTTGTGTTCTGCCAGGTGAGCTCATTATAACTGTTATCAATTTACTTTCGTTGCTAGTGCAGCAGTGCCTACATCTACTTCAAACATTTTATTTGATTTACTCTAGCTTACATTTATAACTTGTTTGTCTCAATCGTAAACAAATAATAGTGTTATATGCAGTCTCTGCTTGGGGAAAGATGTCTCCAGTTAAGACATTTTCATATGGTAATGTCTGATCAGTGATTACATATATGATCTGATGAGCTTGAAATTATGTTGTCTCAGGTGTTCAACGAAATAAACAGCAGGGAAATGGAGAAGATTAATGTTTTCCGTGGTATGGTCACCAACTGGATCTTTATTGCAATCATAGCTGTGACAGTCGTATTCCAAGTGGTGATCATAGAATTTCTCGGCACTTTTGCAAGCACTGTTCCACTTAACTGGCAGCTTTGGCTTCTAAGTGTTGGCCTTGGATCGGTCAGCTTGATTGTTGGTGCCATCTTGAAGTGCATACCAGTTACCAAATCAAATGAACCTCCTGCAAGTCAGAATGGCTATGCACCACTTCCCAGCGGCCCTGATGACATATAGCTGAAGAAGAAGAGTGATGGAAAAGGAGTTGCATTTGATAGAGCGGGTTCGTGAGAACCCCAAACGGGCCACGGCCACCTTCGATTTTGTGTCATGTTTGGAACAAGTAATAAACCACTGTCTAGGCTCAGTTTTAGCAGACTGTTATATCTTTTGTCCTGCAATTACACGTTTTTTTTCCTGTTTGCTGTTGCTGCTGTGTAAAAAAGATGGTGATGAACACAATGCAAGCACTGTTTTCTTGGGTCATGGCCCTCATGGAAACGAAGTTTTCTTGACTAATCCAAGTACACTTACTTTGTAGGAAGAAAAAGCACATTTACTTGACTAGCAAAATTCGAATTTACATAGCTGAACACCTCTTTATTAAACTTTAAAGTGGAAATACATAGTAACAGAAACATTGCAACGTTGTCTAATAAAAACCCAGAAACATTGCATCAGCAGTAGGATCATGAATTCATGATCGAAGTGACATTAAGCTGCTAGTCACCGAACTCTACAAAACCCTAAACCACTGGATATCAATTCCCTAACAATTTATCAACTTGCGTCAGTATCGCCTTTCGGATCGTCGTCGTCGTTCTCTTGCACACCGTCACTGGGCTCTGGTTTCGGATCGTTGTTCTCTTGCACACCATCACACATGGTCTGTAGAACTGAGAAGGCGTTACTATTACTGTCCATGATCCATCCATCGTCCAGCTGCAGCAAATGTTCCACGGTAAACACAAAGTCAGAGTCTTCCAGCTTCAAATCTTGCGCGGTAAACTCCAAGTCTTCTGTAACCATCTCCAATCGCTGTGGCTCGTCGTCGGCCCTGATGTATACGCCGCCATGGACGCCGGCGCAGTGGTATTGGCAATCCCCGTCGACTTGTTCCATCATGGGTTGGTGTTGCCAAGTGGCCAATGCTTCTGCTGTCAGATCGGTCACCGGCGCAGCAGCAGCAGCAGCATGGGACGACGTGGTGGCATAGGAGGAGCACCTGACATCCGGAGGCGCTGGCGCCGGCGCAGCAGCGGTGGTGGCATAGTAGGAGGAGGAGCCCCCGACATCGGGCGCCGCCGTCTGGCGCGCCGGCGCGCGCTGCCGCTGCCTCTTGTTGCACGGGACCGGCACGTCGTTGGCCTCGAGCTGCTGCTGGCGGTCGTCTCCCTCCGCCACCGCCGCCGCCTTGGGCCTGAGGTGCAACCTGCAGAGCACCTTGACGCCGTCCTCGCCGGTGGCGTCGTTCCGGACGGTGCCGAACTCCTCCATGAGCCACGCGGTCTTGCCGCCGCCGGCGGGGCGGAACTCGAAGGACTGGAGGTACCCGGCGCCGCGGACGGGGATCCGCTTGCCGGACCCGTGCCACGTGCCGAGTGCCCCGACGGCGCGGTTCATCCGCTTGCTTCTAGCGTTGCCGTCCTTCCAGCGAGCGACGGAGAGGAAGTACCAGTTGCCGTCGTCGTGGGCGATGTGCTGGAAGCGCGACGCCAGCGTGCCGGGGTCCTCGCCGTACACGTCCGCGGCGGCCATGATGCCGTAGAACTCGCCGGGCGACTGGTGGCCGGGCTCGAGGTAGCACTGGATCAGCTCCCGCGGGGTCGGCTTGAAGCGGTACCCCGGCGGCGCGTTCACGTTCGGCCACCGCGGTGGCGCGTGCTCCTCCATCTCTCCCGCCGCCGCCGCCGCCGCCGCCGTTCTTGGTGGACGCGCGCGTGCGTTCGTGGGCGTGGACGGCGCGTGGCGTTGCCTGTTCGTTTGGTCGTGGCTTATCGCTAAATGATCGTAAATTTTCAGCCGAAACAATATTTTTCTCTCACACGAACTGACCAGCAGTACTTCTTTACGGACGTGCAATGAAAAGAATCAGCCAACCGAACAGGCTGATAGTATAGCGCCCCCCGCGTGTCCGATACCCATTGATTTTTTTTTTATTTCTAACTTTTTAAAAACTATTTTCAAATCTAACACTTTTGGTTACGTCAAAGTCCGTGGCGCAGCCAAAACACGTTGTCGCACCACATGCATCGGCGCGGCACGATCTGCCATGTCGGACAGCGATTTTCACGCGGAAATCCTTGCCGCGCCACTGGCGTTGGCGCGGCAGCACTATAGCGCAACGTCATCCAGACTAGCGCGGCAAGGCGAACCTTAGAAAAATTATATTTTTTTCATACGATCTCGAATAAAGATGATCTTTATATGAAAATTATAGCTCTCAACGAGATCTACAACTTTATAGTTTTGAGGTTTTTTTTTGAGGTTATTAAGATGCTAAAAAATTAAACAAAGTTTTAGTTGTATATTAATCGCGTACCAACGCTGTCGTCTTGGAAAAATCATATCGTTCTTATATGGTGTCAAATAAAGATACTTTCTATATGAAGTTGTAGCCCTCGATGGAATCTATAAATTTCTAGTTTTGAGTTTTTGCATTTGAGATCATTAAGATGCTTAAGAAAAATAATATAAAGTTTCAACATCGTTTAATCGCGTACAAGCACTTATGGTCTTCGAAAAATCATATCTTTCTTATACGGTGTCAAATGGAGATACTTTTTATATAAAACTTATAGTTTTCGATGGGATTTACAAATTTATAGTTTTGGATTTCTTCATTTGAGATCATTAAGATGCTCAAAAAAATAATATAAAGTTTTAGCATCGTATTAATCGTGTACAAGTACTTGTCGTCTTAGAAAAATCATATATTTCTTATATGGTGTCAAATAGAGATACTTTCTATATGAAAGTTATAACTCTCAATGGGATCTACAAATTTATAATTTTAGATTTTTACATTTAAGATCATTAAGATGCTTAAAAAATAATATAAAGTTTTAGAATCGTATTAATCGCGTACAGGCACTCGTTGTCTTAGAAAAATCATATCTTTTTTATATGATGTCAATTGGAGATACTTTCTACATAAAAGTTGTATCTCTTGATGAGATCTATAACTTTATATATAATTTTAAGTTTTTCCATTTGAGGTCGTTATCTTGGGTGCGCGACGTGACTAGGCATGTTTAAAACAAACTTGAACAAGTGTTAAATTCCCACGCGGCACTGTCACGGTACGTGACAAGCTCGAGTTCACAATTCAAATTCTACCCAAAGAATTTTAGATCAAATAAATTATTGAGTTTCCTGAGACAGAGTTGAGTCTAGTTCACCACCTAAAAGTTCGATAAGATCTACAACTTTAAAATTTGATTTTTACATTTGAGATCATTAAAATGTTAAACAATAATATAAAGTTTTAGGAGTATATTAATTAAGTACTTGAGTTTAATGCCTCATAAAAATCTTTTCGGGTGCGTGCCACAAGTACTTGACCATTAGTTAAAGAGAAAAGTACCATTTTTTATATAAGAAAATATAACGAGAGAATACGGTTACACTAAGTAATAAAAGTAATATGTTAAAGTTATAGTTTAATTTCTAAGTTTATTAGATCTCGCCAATTTTACAATTAACGATGTCTATTGTTGCGTAACTTTTTTTCACTATTTTTACGTAAAACTTTTATGCGAAACGATGACAAAAGTGTAGTGAGATAGTAATAATACATGACTAAACTATCTACCATTAGCCTAACAAATCAATCATCTTCATCCGTTTTTTTGGTACTACTTGAATTCTTGAGTCGACTTTCGATTAGTAATCAGTCACATCGCGCGCCGAAGATAACGACATCAAATAGAAAACTCAAAACTATAATTTTGTAGACCCCATCGAGGGCTATAACTATCATATAGAAAGTATCTCAATTTAACGTCATATAAGAAAGATATAATTTTTCTAAGACGACAAGCGCTTGTATACGATTAATACGATGCTGAAACTTTATTTTATTATTTTTTAAGCATCTTAATGATCTCAAATGCAAAAATCCAAAACTATAAATTTGTAGATCCCACCGAGAGCTATAACTTTCATATAGAAAATATCTCCATTTGACGCTATATAAGAATGATATGATTTTTCCAAGACAACAGTGCATGTACGCGATTAATATGATGCTGAAATTTTATATTATTTTTTAGCATCTTAATGATCTCAAATGCAAAAACTTAAAACTAAAAATTTATAGATCCCATTGAGGGCTACAACTTTCATATAGAAAGTATCTCTATCTGACACCATGTATGAACGATATGATTTTTCCGACAAACGCTTGTACGCGATTAATATAATACTGAAACTTTGTTTAATTTTTTTAACATCTTAAGGACCTCAAATGAAAAAACTCAAAACTAGAAAGTTGTAGATCTCGTTGAGAACTATAATTTTCATATAAAGTCCGTGGCGTGGCAAGGATTTTCACGTGAAAATTGCTGTCCGACGTGGCAGATTGTGCCGCACCAATGCATGTGGCGCGGCTGCATGTTTTGGCCACATTACGGACTTTGGCGTGGCCAAAAGTGTTATATTTGAAAAAAAAAACGGTGTTAGATTTAGAATTTGTTTTAGAAAAAGGTTAAAAATAAAAAAAAATCCTTAGGGGATCCGAGTTGGAAAAGAATAGCGGGACAAAAATCCGTTTTTTTTTTCTTTTTTCTTTTTTTGTGGGCTGGGCCGGGTCAGGTGAGCAATGAACGGTGAAAAGGGCCGCGGCCCATTTGTATCTCCGTTTGCCCAATCGTCATCATGGGCCGGCTACACAACACAGCCGAAGCAAAAAGAAATAAACCTGAAACAAACCAAATTCTTCACCTGTTCCTGTATCTGTGTCAGCTCGGGTTTTTGCTTCCGTCGTCGTCTTCGATTCGTGCGGCGGCGGCGTCGCCGCGGCGGTGAGGGAAGCGGGCGAGACGAGGGATCAGCCTCGATGGGGAAGCAGAAGGGTCGCGCGTCCAGCAGCGGCATGGCGGCGTCGCTGGTGCCGCACGCCCAGGGCGCCGTCCCCACCGTCGGTTTCGGCGGCTACCATGGCGCCGTCCGTGTTGAGCCCGCTGCGCCCTCCGACCCAGACGCCCCGATTCGCCTTACCCCAGTATGCCCTCTCTCTCTCTCGCTCTCTCTCTGTCTGTCTCTCCTTAGTTCATCACTAGTGGAATAGTTTTTCATATTAGCTTTGTGGGAGGGATACTTCGGCCCCAAAATTTGGTGCTTCCTATCTGCGCAGCCAGCATCTAGTATTTATTAGTCCTCTGTGGTAGCAATTAGACGTATTATCTTTCAGTTTTAGCATCGGTAGGGAGTTGGACCTAAATTTGTATTTGTAGGTGTAATAACAGTATAACACAATATCTTTCATTCTATTTGGTATCATAAACAACATGCACACGCTATACCTATCTGTTTGAGTTCAGCAGCATCTAGCGTCACATGGTACCACTAACAGCCTTTGAGTTCACTAGCTCTGGTTTTAGTTTGCCTCAGTTTGTGGCTTCAGGCTCATTGGCATTCTCATACCTTATTTCTATGATTATATGAAGGATGTGGATGGTGAAGTGCTTCAGAACCTAAAGAGGCTAGGAAGGAAAGATCCGACAACAAAGGTCAGATTGCTAGTCATATTCCTTCCGCAGAGGCCTTTATTTTTTCCCTCAATATATTGTATGTCATATTCCTTTCATAGGCTTTCCCCCTCAATATATTGTATACTAGCACTTGTGCTGAGAATATTTAGTTAAGATCCTTTCATCATACCATTTTTCTGTCAATTGCTCAATTTTTATATAACAAAAATTTAGTCCTCCTTACACAAATTCATGCAATAAAAGAGAGTAGCTGTGCTGTTAAGTCTGAGGTTTTCAGAGGAGATGCTACAATTTCCAAATAACTTCTGTTTTCTCCTACCATTTTCTTCCTAGAATGTTACACCCTTTCTGCATTGAAAAAAATGAAAAAGCATCTATAACATTGCTGCTGTACTGTACTACGTGTTTTCTTAAAGAAGCTGCTTTACTATGCATTACCTTTCTCTTTTCTATCTTGAATGCAGCTCAAGGCCTTATCTGCTCTCTCTACACTCTTTGGACAAAAACCTGGTGAGGAAGTTGTGCAGATTGTTCCACAATGGGTATTTTTTCTCTCGATTCCTCTGTTGCATTTTCATCCTGATCTTATATTGTCATGGTCCTTATCAGAGTAAAACTGGCAACTTTCTTATGCCATACTTTGTCCAATTTTCATGTCTTTATGAGAATACGTCTAGTACTCTAATGTCAAAGTAAATATTCATTTTCTGGCATACACATATTTATATGGTATATATGGAAGGTTTTGTATCATAACCTAATACTCATGTGGAGCTCTAGTTTCCTACAATCAAATGGCATAAGGACTTGTAGTCTCTTTGTTGGTGTGAGTATATTGTTTCCTTGTAATGCAGCAATGCCTTAGGTTTGTTGCTGACTTGTTAAATGAGATCCTATGAATGCAAGACTAGCGTTTAGACTTTCTGCTGTATCTCATGTTAGTTCTATATTTGCTTATGTTCCTAGTAAGGTTGAATACTTGTTAATGTGAAGAAAGGGAAAGGATAACATGGTTTGATACTATATCTTCTTTCTGTTTAGGCATTTGAGTACAAGAGGCTGCTACTTGACTATAACAGAGAAGTTCGCCGTGCTACTCATGAGGCCATGTCTAGCCTCATCACAGCAGTCAAGTATGCCCATCTCCTTCCATTCAACTGAGGTCCAACTGGTCTATGCTGTTTATTTCTGGTTCTTTTGTTGGTTTTGGTCCAGTTAGAAAAGATCCTTAGACGCCAACAGGACTCATTAGATTTCCATTTATTTATACATTAAGTATTTTTGGCAACCTTTAAATGGATGCCACTAAATCCATTGTTTCAGGAAAGGTATAGCACCACATCTGAAGTCCTTGATGGGTCCTTGGTGGTTTTCTCAGTTTGATCCTGCTCCTGAGGTTGCTCAGGCTGCTCGACGCTTAGCTTAGGTGAGTTCTATTAATATTCCTTCTCTGATTAATGTTAATGGGTGCAAGTCACTTCAGCTGGACAGCTATCTAGATTTGCTGCAGCCATTTTTACCTGAAATAATACTAGATTAAAAGTACTAAACTTACTGAGGGCTTGTTTGGATAGATAGGGAGAATCCATCTCCATCCAAGTAAGCCCTTGTTTTGGAAAGGGGTTCTCAATATAAAGAAACAAAAAACCAGACAATTAACTGCAATGAATGGACCATTGATATAGAAGCATTAAATGTTCAGATCTGGTTAGGGCACACACTCTAGGGACTCTGATTTTCCTGTATACCCCTCTCATATGGCATTAGTTGGAAACGAAATAAAAAATACATTTTGATTCCTTGTTAGTTGGGTAGATACTGAGATACATCGCATGTTTTCGAGGTAAATATCTTTGCATTTAGGGCCCTTTTGGAACGCAGGAATTGTATAAGAATTTCACAGAAACAGTTCATTTTCACAGGAAAAAAACGAGAGAAACCGGGGGGATCCCGTGTTCCAAAGGTCAGGTCATTGTATTCAGTAATTAAGCAAGAATGATGGATTGATCTTTACCTGTCTAAAACTCTCTTATCGTGAACCTCACTGTTATCGGCCAAACAGAATTGCTGGAATAGTGTTGCACAGAACTGAGCTACCCATGTACTTGCCCTAGCTTATGCAAATGAACATAACCAACCTTCATCGAAAAGAAAAGAATGGTTTAATGAGTTTACTTACAACAAGAGTCCTAATAGATGTTTCCGTAAACTCATTCGCTTTTGAAAGGTCAGGTTGAATCTCAATTATATAAGAACAGGGCCCACGGCAGCTATTTATCCTCGTCGGCTAGCTTACATTTATTCCATTGAACCTTGTCCAAACTGGCTGTGATTCTTTCTTTGTAGTTCTTTTTTCTTGTTTGGAACTGTTGAAGAGGAATATTTCTAATTAGAGTCTTCCTCTATTCTTTGTTACGAGTTATATTGGTTTGTTCACATATTTCACTTCTTTCTGTAGGCAGCATTCCCTGAGTCAGATAGAAGACTGGATGCATTAATGTTATGTGTGAAGAAACATTTCTTTACCTAAATGAGAACTTGAAGCTAACTCCACAAGCTTTGTCTGACAAGGCTACACCAATGGATGAACTGGAAGATATGCATCAGAGGGTATGCTTTCTGGTCTTCCATTGTACTAAATGTGGTGTAATGATCAGCCGGCTTCCCTTTGCAAAATGTTCTCTTTCCATGTGCAATCGGTTTCAAGATATTTTCAGCTAATACAAAAGAATTTATGCAATCTTGTAAAAAGTGTGATTGATTTCTACCCTTTATTTCCTTAGTGGTTACGTAACTGATGCTATGTTTCAGCAGTAATAATCAGTGGCTCAGTGCCCCATTCTCCCTTTAGAAAGAAGGGTGGAAGTCTGTATCTTCGAATACTTGTTCTATTTTCTGAGTAGTGTTCGTGTTATTTTGTTGCTCTAGGGGTTGTAGACATGGTCATTGATTCCTTGCATCCCGCACTTTCTATTTGCAAGTTCATACCATGCTTCTAATACTTGCTGCCCATTTTCCTCTTCTCCTCTGTAGGTGATGTCATCATCACTGTTAGCTATGGCAACTCTTATAGAAATTTTACTAGGAGTGAAATTGCAAAGTTGTGATGGTGACAGTACCAATACTGAAAACAAGAATCTGTCAAAAGTTAGGTCAACTATACTTTCTTCTGCTGAAGCTGCATTCTGTATGCATAAATGTTTTCTTGACGTCCTCAAGTCAAAAAGTTCTGTTATACGGTCAGCTACATACTCACTGCTTACAAGTTATATCAAACATGTTCCTCATGTTTTTGACGAAGAAACCATGAAGAAACTTTCTCCAACTCTACTTGGTGCATTTCATGAGAAGGATGCATCATGCCACTCTTCTATGTGGGATGCAATTCTTGTTTTCTCTAGAAAGTTTCCAGAGGCATGGTCATATTGCAATATTCACAAAGTTGTCCTCAGTCGGTTTTGGCATTTCCTACAAAACGGATGTTATGGGTCCAAACAAGTTTCATATCCTTTTCTAGTTCAGTTTTTGGACTCTATGCCACCTAAAGCAGTCATGGGACAACAATTTGTTTTTGATTTTTTGCATAATCTTTGGGCTGGAAGGAACCAGAGGCAGTTATCAGCTGCTGATAGTTTGGCTTTCTGTGGTGCCTTTAAACAGAGTTTTTTGTGGCTTCTAAAGAATGCATCAAGGTATCCTTTATGAACTAGTTTGAGTTGCAATTATCTTTCAAGCTCTCGAGTTTGTGTCATTACCTGATTTTCTTTTTACAGATATTTTACTGGAGATTCTTCAGATGATATACCCATCAAGCTTATAACTGATGTACTTGCCAAAATAATTTGGCGTGACTACCTTTTATTGTCTGGAGACACAACTAGTGGCAGTGTTCTGTTATCTCATAAAACTTCAGGGTTAGCTGCGAACATGCACTACCCAACATATTATCTTCAGGATTTGAAGAAATGCATCATTGAAATACTGAATGTGATTGCAGATACAGAAAATCATTTACTTAATATTTCTTGTCAGTTGCTTTTAAGGGACTGTTTGGACATAATTCAACAAGGGGAGAAGCTTTCCAAGTTTCAGAATCATGCAGAACAACTTGTGTCATTCTTTCTATCTTTGGATCAAATTGTTGTATGCAAAGGTGAAATATGGCCACTGGAAAGATTAGCAAAACCACTGGTTGAGCAATCTTTGCCAGCTATCAAGTTCATGGTAAGATCAGACACTCAATTTTAGGATGAATATTACGTAATCTTAATTCTAGTTGTATATTCTCTCCGATAAGAAAATATAAGTTGTTTTAGGATTATTGTTGGTAAAAACTTTTTAACTTTGACCATCAATAAATGAATTACATATGTCGACAACGCAAGAGTAGTGCAACTAGAGTTCATCATAAAAAATACTTTCTTAATAATATAAACACTCCTTTTTATTTGAACAGCAGATTATCATAAACGCAAGATTCATGTAACTAGATTCATCATGAAACTTACATTCATAATATGTTCCCTCTTATTTGAATAGTGTATTTTCATAAATGACCTATTTTTTATCAGAGGGAATAGGGTAGTTATATGTTGTCATGGGACTTAATATATTGTTATTGTGTTCTTAAACATGAAATTCATGGCTATACTCCACTATAAATATAAAACACTAATGATAGAGAAAGGCCAAGAGGCTTAGATTGCTTAATGAAGAGTTTACAGGAGTATTACATATATATAGAGAGAGGCTAAGCTAGAGAGTGAAGAGGGGGGAGAATCCCAGGCAGCATGCCGGGAGTTCCTAGGCAGCACTGGGTGAAAACCCAAGAGGCAGCCGGTACACAATAAATGATAAAGGAAATAAATACTCTAACACCCCTCAGCAATCGAGCGCCGTTAGAACGGACGTTCGGGACCGAGCGAAAAATCCATAAAGACGTAAGAAGAAAGACCCTTGGTGAAGACATCGCTGACTGCGACGTGGTGGGAACGTGAAGAGTACGGACAGCCCAAAGGGCGACCTGCTCCTGACGAAGTGAAGGTCGATTTCCGCGTGCTTGGTACCGATCTTTGAACGGGGTTGGTGGAGAGGTAGACGGCACGACGTTGTCGCAGCAGAGATGAGGCGAAAGCGCGGTTTCGAGAGGATGATGTAGTTCTGTGAAAGTTGCCGCACCAGGAGGCTTTCGCGACGCGCCGCTAACAATCGCTTTCAGATTTGACCTCGGCGCTCGGCCGTGAAACAATGGGTTGGCGCTTGATGACCAGAGATGAGGTCGCCACCGAGGAAAACAAAGATAGCCGGAGGTGGATCGTCGGGTGTCGGCGACCCCGACCAACCACGGCTTCGGTGTAGACGATGAGTGAGTTGGAAGCAGAAGCGGGGAATGACAAGACCAAAAGCCGATAGTGCCACGAAGGTAGCGAAGAATCCGCTTAAAAGCAACAAGATGAACTTCCCGAGGATCATGCATGTGCGAAGTGATTTGTTGAACAACGTCGCGATGTCGGGCCGGGTGAAAGTGAGGTATCGGAGAGCACCCGCAAGGCTACGATATGCTATAGGATCAAGAATGTAAGGGGCGGCATCAAGAAAAAACTTTGGCACAAGTGTCAACAGGAGTGGAACAAGGCTTGCAGTCGCTCATGCCATGGCGAGCAAGAATATCCAGAGTGTACTGACGCTGTGAGAGAAATAGAGTGTCTTGCTGTCGCTGAACTGCTACGCCAAGAAAATGGTGTAGAGAACCAAGATCCTTCATAGCAAATTCCTTCTTCAGTGCATCAAATCACCCGATATAAGAGCGGCTGAGAGGAGGCTGTAACAACAATGTCATCCACATATAGGAGCAAATAGATCGCTCGATGTCGCGGTGATAGATGAACAGGAGGTGTCGGACTTAGCTTCATGAAACCCGAGAGATAGCGAGATAAGAAGCAAACCGGGCGTACCATGCTCGCATGATGCTCGCTTCAAACCGTGAGGGACTTGTTGAGCCCGCAGACGTGGTCGGGAAGAGCATGATCGGCAAAACCAAGTAATTTGAGCAAGATATCTTATTTCGACAAAAGTCCCGTGAAGGAAAGCGTTCTTGACATCAAGTTGATGGATCGGCCCGATCCGGGAGTGAGCTAGAGTGAGGACGGTCACGAGCGGTGAAGTGCTTGACGACGGACCGAAAGTCTCATCGTAATCGATTCCGGGCGTTGTGTGAACCCACCTGAGCACCCATCGATCCTTGTATCTCGCCCAAGGAACCATCGACATGAAACTTGTGTTTGAAGATCCATTTTCCGGTGACCACATTTGCCTTGGCGAGCCGAACAACGAGATCCCAAGTGTGGTTGTCCAAGAGGCGCGAATAATTCTTCTTCCATGGCCCGACGCCAAAGGCGGATTAGCAAGAGCGTCACGGCGGAATGCGAAGTGGGGACAGAGCCTCGGTGTGTAGAGCAAGACGAGGTTGCTTGTATCCGGACTTCCATGAAGTCGCCATGCCATGAGAGTTGGCAAGTGGCGGGATGGAGACCGCCCTATGGCAAAGTGAAGAACCGCTCTTGACGTGCGCGTGGTGGAGAGGAATCATGCCAGAAGCGAGGAGGAGCCCCAGCCGGGGACCTCGATGGCGAAGCTGGTCTTGAGGCACGCCGTGTGTGTAGACGTGGACGACAGGCGGCTTGTTTGAAGGAAGGAGCCGGGAGCGATCGAACAGAGGCGCCGTGGGCACCATCTGAGGGGGCACCGTATGCGCTGACAGCAATGGCGCCGTAGGGGATACCAGGCGCCGAAGCCAGTGGAGGAGACACAAGGCGGTGTGTGCGATCCCATGCACTGGGTACCCGAAGATGCTTACCGGGAGGGAGCCTGCAGAGGTGCAGTGCTAAGCAGGATGGTACCAACGCGAGGGGTTCCTGCAGGTGGAAAAGGGACTAACGGAGGATCGTCATCAGTTAGAAAGTCCAGTTCGTGTGTGGGTGGTGAGGGCCGGTGAAGGGAGAAAGGAAACGTTGTTTCGTTGAAAACAACGTGGCGAGAGATGATGACACGGTTTGTGGCGAGGTCGAGGCACCTGTAACCTTTGTGATCGGGAGAGTAGCCGATGAAAACACATAAGGAAGAGCGCGGGGCAAGTTTGTGAGGAGTGGTGGCGGTGAGATTAGGGTAGCAGGTGCATCCGAAAGCCCGGAGATCGTGATAAGAAGGGTGAGTGCCATAAAGTGCGAAGAAGGGAGTGCTCATGTTCAGCGTTTTGGTGGGGAGACGATTTATGAGGTGAGTGGCAGTAGCAAGGGCATCGGCCTAGTAGAAGGGGGGCATGGATGCTTGGAAGAGCAGGTGCGGTGACATTGTTGGTGGTGCGAAGCATGCATTCGGCTTTGCCATTTCTTTCATGAGGTGTAGGGCAGGCGATACATGCGAAGAGAAACACCTTTGGCAAGAAAGAAAGCGCGAGACATAGAGTTGTCAAACTCACGACCGTTGTCACATTGCACTCTGATTTGATGGTACAACCAAATTGAGTGTGCACATAGGCGAAGAAATTGGAGATGACAGTAAAAGTCTCTTTGACTTTTAATCGAAGAGGAAAAGTCCAAAGAAAATGAGAGCAATCATCGAGAATAATGAGATAGTATTTAAAACCGGATACACCGATAATAGGGGAAGTCCACGGTCACAATGTATCAAATCAAAAGTTTTGGGTGCTCTAGACAAGGAACTAGCAAAAGGCAAGCGAACATGGCGCCCAAGTGACAAGCATGGCGAGATGGAGTCATCTGTGTGGACTTCTTTGCAGAAAATGGAAGATGACCGAGCGAGACTCTGAAGGGCAGCCTTGCTTAAAGGTGGCGAGACGACGATGCCGTGTAGTTGGAGAAGGAGTGGCCACAAGAGCACAAGTATCGATGAGGTGACGACGGAGCCGCAAGGTGTAGAAGCGGCCCCGGTATTTACATCGAAGGAGGGTGTTCTGCACGGAGATCCTTCAAAGAGACACCAAGAGGGTCAAATTCCACAGAAACAAAATTGTCGCAGGTGGTCGACGAAGCGGAAAGCGATTTTTAATGATGTCGGGGCGAGAAGGACATTGTTGAGACGGAAAGGGCCAGGAAGGGTGGAGTAGCCGGTGCCAACAACCGGGAGAGTAGCACCATTTCCCACAACAATGGAGGAAGAAAACGAGGAGGATGGAGATACGGTAACCATACCAGGGTTGGAGGCAATGTGAGATGAGGCACCCGAGTCGATCACCCGATCCCGAGGAGTTCGGGCGGGGTGAGGGTGACGGTGCTGAAGGCGTTGGCGAGGGACTGTTGGTCCCATGGTGACCAAGCAGGGGGCGTCGGAGGTGGTGCTGGCGTCCAGGCAGGATGAGGCGCCTGGGTGGGCGCCTGGTGGTACGTCCCAGGAGTCGAAGGGTAGTATGTTGGAGGCACGCCGGCCACCAAAGCGTGCTGCTGCAGCGGTGGCGATGCAGATGGGCCGGTGCGGGGAGGTGGACCGCGAGAACCGCCGGGAGTAGACCCGGGCCACATGTGGATGGACCCCGTCCACGGATTGAGGAGGGAGGGCCACTGGGAACCACCTGGGAAGCCGCTGGTCAAGCCTCCTTGTACCACGGCGACGCCGCCACGCGCCATCGCCATTGCCAGACGAGCCCCCTGGCGTCTTTGTTGAGGGCGCTGGTTTGCGAACCAGGCGGCCGGCCGATGCAGGTGGGCTTGTTCGAACGAAGAGGCGACGAGGGCCGATGGAGGCGCCGAGGAGGTGCCATGTTGAGCTCGGCCAGCGCAGTCGGCGCGGACGTCTCGCAAAGGAAGGAAGCGGCTTCCAAGCGCGTGATGAATTGCGACATGAACCGGAAGCGCTCATTGAGGCCGCTGCAGATGTTTAGCACCGTAGTACGGTCATGGACCGCTCACCCAGATCGGCAAAGGGCATCGGCCATGCCCTTCATCTGCGCAGATGGCGTCGATGGAGAGGGCGCCACAGGAGAGGTGCGAACTCAAAGATCAAGGAGCATGGCGCGTGATTCGCGATTGTTGAGGAACTGTTGTTCGATGCCGAGCCACGCAGCCCAAGCGGAGACGCCGTCACGTTCGTGGATGACGTCCAGAAGGTCGGTGGAGATGGTGTTGAAGATCCAGGAGACGACCACGCGGTCCATGCGGGGCCATGCTGGATCGGTGACTCGGGAGTCGTCACTGAGGACGTGATCCTTCAGCGCGAAGTGGCCGAGGATGAGG